AGGTGAGCGAGCAGATGCCTCTGCTTTAGATTTATGAGATGCTGTATCAAGTCCCCGAAGAAGCAGATTAATCAGAAGAAGTTATTTGCCTTTTAATTAAAAAATATTATCAACCGTGGCTCTGCCTCTGCCAATTCTCACAGCAGACAAGAAGGGGTAGCATTAGCAAGTGAGCAATATTAATTTTCCACAACTAATTTAGAGATAATATCCTTCGCATGCGCCCACAGCTCACAGGACTGTGCACCAGGCTGTCCTTTACTCATGGGCCCTGGCTAGTATTCCTATCTTTGACTGACTTTAGAAGCTTCTGCAAGGCAGGAAGTACACAGAACACAGGGCAACTAGACCTGGGAGCAACGGGCATATGGGGGTCCAAAGGGATGCATCTATTAGCTAAAAACTGAAAGACCACATATTTCTCAGAGAAAACTTGGGGTGTTTAGCATCATCTGGCTTTTTTGTGTGACCAAATCTGATCGTGATGCTGTAGAATGAATTGTGCATTCACAGTCAAATTCATATGCTGAATTCTAACCCCAGTGCCTCAGAAATGGACTGTATTTGGAGATGTTTGATGCTTAACTATTGACTTGACTTAAATGAGGCCCTCATCTCATGTGACCGTGATTGTTATAAGAAGAGGTGACTAAGGTACATACATACACGCCAGGGGACCATGCGAAGACATAGGTAGATGCTGCCATCTGCATGCCAAGGCAAAAGAGCTCAGAAGGCATCAAGGCAGCTACTGTTCCCATCGTAAGCTCAAAACATGAGAAAATAAATAAATCTTTGTTGTTGAAGCCGTCAATCTGTTGTGATTTTGTTATGACACACAATAGTCAGACTTATCTGATTCCTGCCTTTCATTTCCATGAAACCAAAAGACTGAGAAGACAGATCCCCACAGTTCTGCTTACTCCAGTTTTCTTAGTTCAGCCGAGAGAGACCATGCAGGTAACCTATTCACCCCTGAAGCTTAACCAGGAGTAAAAGCAGAACAACCTCAGTGAAGAACTGCCATCTCTCTTCTCCAGGGAGGCCCAGAAGCCAGACTCTCTTCAGGACACACCCAAGTGAAGCTCTCCTTGACATCTTTCTTACTCCCAATGTTCACTACCTGCCTTGGGTCCACAGAAGTATCCTCTCTTGGGTAGCAGGTTAGCCCAGCAGATAAGACCTAGCTATCATACTGCAAGGTCTCTGTTTGAATCTTAGCTTGGCTTCCAATTTCAATTTCCTGCTAATGCTGCTCCTAGGTGGCCATGGCCATGGCTTTAGTAACTGAGATCCTGGTACCCAAATAGTGTCAAGACCTGGATTGGGTTTCCAAATCATAGTTTCATTCTGGTATCTCCCAGCATATCATGGGCATATGGCAAGTCAACCAACAGGGAAGAACCCTCTGCTTGCCTCTGTTGCCTCTTTTTCTCTGCCCCTCAAATAACTTTACAAAGTTAAATAGGTCCATTTTAATAAATTCCACTATATGCACATTTATTTGTTCCTGAAAATTGGAACAGCACATCAAAATTTCCTTTTCTTGCAATTCAAACATTTGAATATCAGAAAATCCAATTATCACCCATAATTATTATATTCTAGCTAAATCAGCCAATGCTTTCTTTACATTCCTCTTCCCCAAGCTACTTTGCACATTGGTCCTTGGTGTTGGGTTTCATCTTATTGATATCAGGTTTCTAAAGCATAAAGCAATGTCTGAAATATATTGGTGCTTACAACTTGAGCTAAAGTATATAGGAAATTACTCAAATACATTAAAACTATAGATTCCTTCCAAATTACCAGTATCAAGCTAGGAAGAGAAAGATACCACAGAACTTATGTGGTACATTTATCAAAATTACAAGTATACAAGTAAGACTTGTACACAAGTCTTAGGATAAAGTAGTGTTCTCTACTACATAAAATTACTGGCAAGAACAATGTAAGAATTAGTTACGCCTAAAATTATTCCATGTCGTTATCAATTCCAACCCAGCATCCTAAGAAGAATCTCATCAATGATGTAGGCAGTAGCCCCAACTATATTTGAGTGTCTCGCTTCTTGGTTCACTCTGAAATCCCTTAAGATCAATGTAAATGAATTGTCCCCTTTCAAGGTGAGAACAACTGTTCAATAAGAGGTAACTCAGTGTTACCAGCCTTTCTCTGTACTCAGATTTTCAAGGTCTTTCCTCCTGTTGGGCTTGGGCAAGTTACTTCGGATCTCCTGGAATATCTTCTGATCTCAGTCAGGCTGTGGAGGTGGATCATCTGGGACAAGGGACGGGAACTTAGTGGCAGAGATGAGTGTTAAGTTACTTTGGTCCTTTGGCAATTAGAGACTGCTGAGGCTTGACTGTTTCCTTCAGGAAACATCCGGAGTTAAACTGGCTGTTAAGTCATGGACTGAACACAATGATAGGAGTAGAATAATCTGGCAACGTCAAGATTAAATTATGTACCCCCCAAAATTATGAACCAAATACAGAGTCAAGAAATTGATTCTCCTTGCTTCTCTTCCTAAAATGTCGGTACACCCTAGTAAGGAAATATGGCTTGATCAATGTATAGTGTGTGCATTGCGAGAATAAAAGTATTGCAGCCAAGAAGGAATTACTGTCCCCATGTTTAACTATTCCCACATGATGATACTGTCCATACTGAACACAGCAGTACTTTCCATCCACATAGCCTTCAGTATGGCTCTGCCCCACCACCATGTGGAGGTGAGATTTAGTTCTTCAACCCCTTGAATATCGACAGGTCTTATAATTTCTTCAATAGATAAAACACAACAGAAGCAACACTGCACCATGTCTGGCCTTTCAGTCTTAAAAACCAGCTGCAACAGCAGCAAAGATATTCTTGAATTAGTAGTGGATTTCCAGAGAGAAAGGATCAAGAAGAGAGACAGAGGGGAGAAAATATTAGGGGAACTTGCTCTGATGTTTATGGAAGCTGGAAAGTCTCACAACAGACCTTTTAAAGCTGGTGATCTGGAGTATCAGTGGCCTTGTTCAGTTCAAAAAGGTTGAACAGTGAAGCAGATGATATAATTCATGGTCAGAGGCTGATAAGTGTGAGAACCCAGGGGGTGGCTGGTGTAAAAACCAAGGAGTCCTCAAACTGGGGATCCTTGAGTTCTGATCCAATGACAAAAGGAAAAGAGTACCTGGTTCCAAGAAAGAGAATCTTTTTCTTTTATCTGGATCCCTGCCCACTTAGATAGTGACTTGTCTATATTAAGGTTTGGTTTACCCTATTCATTTCACAGACCCACAGGTCAAACACCCTTAAAGACACACCAGAGTAGTGCTTTGCTAATTTTCTGTGTATTCTTTAATCTAGTCAAAGTAATGCTCAAAATTAAAACTACAATGATCATACTTTGATAAATCCAAGTGATGCTTAAGCCAAATGAAGAGAGGGGCAATGATGAAGACCAAGACATGAAGTGAGGCAATAGCTTGAATGTAAACCTTCCAACCTTAACTGTAGACGTCACATGGAACAGACACAAGTCCTTTCATATAAATTCACCTGGAAAATCGCAAGTAAAAGTGGCCGACATTGTGGCACAGCAAGTAAGGCTACTACATGTAATGCCATCCCTTATGGGCATTGGTTCCAGTTCAAGCTGTTCTACTTCCAACCCAGCTCCCCGTTAATGTGTTTGGGAGAACAGCAGAAAAAACAGACAAGTGACTGGATCTCTGCATGCATGTGGAAAACCCAGAGGAAACTCTTGGCTTCTGGTTTTGTCCTGGCCCAAACCATGACCTTTGTGGCCATGTGTGGTGTGAAACAATGAAGAAATTCTCTTTCTCTCTTCTTCCCTTCCTTCATCCCTCCATCCCTCCATATTTGCTTCTTTTGCCTTACCTGTTTAATTCTGCCCCTCAGATTAAAAAAAATAAATATTTGAATAAGTATAAGCAACTTAGAAGACTATTTTAAGCCATTCAGTTTTGTGGTTGGTTGTAGTGCAGCAATAAGCAAAACAATGTGGGTAGCACCTTGTAATAGAAAATCTAGGTACAAAGTTGCTGGATATAGAGCATTTACAGCCTGCTTTGACATCTTACCACAATGTGCTGATGGAGGGCTCAAATTTTCTTATTCTAAAAGTATTCATCCATATGATAGGAAAGAATTCACAAGTAGCCTTGGAGAAGAATCAGGAAGGTGAATTGCAAGCCAGTTGGATACATGAGTTGTATATGTCCACTTTAAGTCCTTTTCATAGATCTGACCAATCAAAGAAGCATGAAAACGAACTTCTTGAAATTGACTTTTGGGGTCAATTTTGACTTCTAGAAAGAGTGCAACTGAATACAGAGAATGCTCTGAGAAAAACGTTATTTTAAACATTGTTGGATGAGAAAGAATTAGATTCAAGAGAAAAACACTGTTTTAAAATTCAACAAATTGTTGCAGAAACTAGCACAGAATGTATAACTCAAAAATACAAACTTTGCTTAGTTGAAAACATAAAAGTACATCTCAGAGTCACTTCATATACAAGAATCTGTAGAATTGTGAAGTGCAACTTGCTGAAATGACCTTCCATGGGAATGAACACTGGTGCTGTTTGCAGAGCTGTGCAAAATGCATTTCTGGATTATATCTACTCAATGTAGAAAAAAGTAATAAAATAGGATGATGATTACTGAATCAAGGGTCATGGAAGTATAGGAATGGATTAGAAGTGTACTAAACGTAATGTCCAAATCTTGCAGAGAGAAGACAAAGTCCACATAAGCTACCAGGGACTGAGCTCTGGGCAGGCGGATCTGGACTCTGCGAAGGTAGGAAGCCAGGGTCAGGAGAATCAGTGAAACAACTAGCCTAGCCCCTCACAGCAGGAAGCTGTAGACACTGCCTGGGCTCCTACCCAAGAACAACTCGATCAGGCGCGAATTAGAAGTCATTGGTACCTTACCAAAATCGGTGTTATCATCTTGAAAGGTGACTGTCCACTCTCCATGATCTCTTCTAGGCCACATTCTGGTTTCCAAGACACTGTAATTCCATTCCCAAAAGGCTCCAAGTCTCTTGCTAAGGTCTATCGTAGTTTAAAAAAAAAATTAGAAATCACTCAAAATTGCTGTACCCATGACGATATGTTAATTTAAGATTTCTGAAATCACATAATCTACTCTGACATGAGTCATTACCCAAGAGAAGACAGTAAAGGAAATTTGACAAGCATAGTGTATAAGCATGTGCAATTATACGTCTCTGTATGTGTGTGCGTGTGTGTAAATGAGCCTTGCACACAAGCATGGACTAAGTGATGACCTAGTGCTTAACAGAAGGTAAGAGAATGAGGAAACACCTGTCAAGAAAGCCAGTAAGGCAAACGAAGGGAAGCACTTGGTATCCTTTAATCTAAGACACTTCCCACACTGATACCAAATGCAGCTTTGACCAGTGTTTAAAAGCCTGGATTTAGAAGTCTACAGGCCTGGAACAAATTAATTTCTTTTGGTGTGATCTAAGCACAATTATCTAGACTCTAACCCTAGTTTTCTCATCTGTAAAAGAGGATAAGAGTAATACACACATCATCATGTTAACATTAGCATTTAAATGAGATAACACAGTTTAAGTGCTTAGGAGCAGGCCTGGCACATAGTGAACCCTCAACAAACACTGTTATCGTGAACACGGAGATCAAAGTGGAAATGCTGGCTCTGAATCCTTCTCCCTCATATTCAGCTTTAATGTCACCACACCTAGAAAGCCCAGGAAGAAGCAAAGAAAGTCCACCATCATGGGAGAGAGAGAGAGAGAGGAGCAGAGGCTTTGACCTTGCATAAACCTGACATATATCCTCACACGGGTCAGCGTTGACACGAGTTTGCCAACGTCTACCATGCACCTACGAACAGCAAATAAAAGCCCAAAGGAGAGTAAGACAACTGTGACTCCTGTACATAATGGATGGTAATAAGTCATGAATAAGTCATTTGTCAGGAGAAAAACTAGTGAGTGGCCATGCATTTCAGCAAATAAATCACCAGCAATGTTTCTGGAAACTGAGACAAGAAGCATCTGCAGGGAACCGATCAGGTCTACCAAGACGGATAAGTCAGGCACGCCATTAGTCTGAATTAGCGTCTCGTTGATTTTAGGGTTGAGTCCATCTCCTGAATGACTTCAACTTCACACATTACTATATAATTTGACCTTGTCTTTCTGAGAACAGAGTTTTCAGCAGTCTGTTTCCTAAGAGGTAGAGGAAACGTTCCAGTCATCCGTGAAGAAACTGGTATTTGCAAATCCATCTGGACCAGTGATGTGCTTCTGACACATTTTAATGACAATTTGAGAATCAGGAAGTTGATTCTAACAAACCAAACATGTTATTTTAATGATGAAATCTATCATCCTAAGGGAAAGGTTGAGGAAATTACCTATCAAAGAAAGTCATAAAATCGTGAAGTTGAAAGGAACCTTAAAAATTAATGAGCTCAACACTGGTATAGGAAAATTAAGTGGTTTTTCTCTAGACCACAGAGCTCCTGGATATAAATCTGAACGTGGATTCCTAGTCTAACCTTTGATAGGCTTCGATATACAAGAAGAAGCATCCCATGAGGAGAAAATTAAGCTTAATAGAGAATAGGAGGCAGAATTTTTACTGGGTGTAAAGTTTTTCTAAACTCTATTGCAGTAGCTTGTTAAGAAACCCCATCTCATAAAACCAGAAGTTAAGGCCAAGGATTTAATCATCCTTTAGACTTGTTACCAGGGGTTACAAAACCGCTGCCATAACAGCACTGGATGCACTAGATTGGCATTTGGCTAAAGGCTCCGAAACATTTCATAAAGACTCAAACCTTTTCTGTGTGACCACCTGTCCGCTTTATCACTGACACTCTGTCTTTGTGGTAAGACATACAAAAATCTTTCACCCATGGAACGAACAATTCCCTATTCACTAACCATTCCACATCCTATGCTGGGCAATGGGCTCAAAACCAGTGTCAGATAAGAAAGTAAAAGTACCAGAAATCAGAAGGGGCTGGGAAAATAAACACAGGATTGTTTCATGTGGATACTTATCAAGGACATGAGAGTAAAAGACTGAATAAAAGTCTTTACTGAATTATGACACATCTCTACCTTCTGATGAAAACTCCAGGAGAGATATTAAATCAGCACTTAGATAGCTCTTAGAAGAATGAGGAAAGCAATGGCTCAAATTCAATGAGTCAAAGATATCAAAGCTACCAAAGGATTCAATTTAAAAATCTCAGGAAAGTGGCTACATTGCAGCGGATGCACTGTGGAGGAATGAAATGTCTAACAGAAGGTTTTATGTCATAGGAGGTCTGGAAGATCTTCCATTCACTGAGACCTTTTGAGATCTAACCCCATTTCATGCCTGCTTTTCTGAGAGCCCAGCACATGACTCTTCCGTATCTATCTAAAATGACTTAAGACCTTTGACCTTCCTATTCAATATAAGTTATAAACATAAAAATGATTGTAGCATTTACTTCTCCTCACAGGGTTTAGTTCATCCTCAGCTAAATATCCATTATTCCCAAGACTATTTTAATCTTTCCCATGTGCTTGAAGCTCTTGTGAAGTTTGGAAATAACTCATATCTCTCAGAGTGTGTCAAAATGCCAGCATTTATGGAAGTCGCACTTACTAATAAAGATATATGTGAGCTACAGAAAGTCTGTATTTATATTCTCATGTATATGAGAGTGCTCTGGAAATTGAACATCTAACTGATAATTTCTTTCATGAGACAATCACGTCATGAAACCCTGAGATGAGTTGGTCCCAGGGCTAGTCAACAGAACAGTGGAGTGCATGATTAAAACATAAAAATGTTTCAGATGGCAATGTGTGTAACAGATCTCTTCCGTTTACTAAACAATTCATTTTTAGCTTTGAACTACGGCACTTTAGGAAAATCCTAAATATTTTCATACATATCTTGTGGGGAAAGTTACACTCCAACCACGTCTACACAAGTGCAGGAACCAAGAAAACCTAAATGAAAAATTAGAGAAATCTGTTGTGTCAGGCACAACTATTCATATTTTGTCATACTCATTGATCAGATATTTCAGCTGTAACAAACTCACACTTGCAAGCTTCCTTAGAGAGAGGTCTCCTCTTAGTATTACTTAGATGCATTTCTTAGACGGCAAATTAGTATCTCTTAGATGGCAAAATTTAACAATATATAAAATAATTTGAAGCCAGGACATAATGGAGTGAATGAAGAAGGCCAGGTTTCAAGTTTCTGATTTGAAGAAGGGAAAGGTTGGAAGAGAAAAAGAAAACTGGGATGAGGAGCTAACAGATTTATTCATGTGTCATTTGGAGCAATGATTTAGAGGAGACTATTTTCCACCAAAAACCCTATGAATACTGAAGCCAATGTACTGCCCCTTTGCAGAGGCTGCGTGGCTATCCTGAACCCCTGGTCTGCTGCTCTCCGGGTGAGCGTATTGGTTCAACTGAGTCCAGGTCCCTTCAGTTCTTGTTTTCCTGAGTAGTGTGTCATCTGGGCTCTCTTGCTTCTGATGCCCACATGTCTGTGCTATCATAGAATTGATGGGTTTCTGTTATGAGAATTTTCTGAGAAATGCCATGTAAAGCCTTTATAGCAACAACCATCCTCCTGGGGTAGAGTCAAATAAATATTTTTCTAGCTTCTTCCCTCTCTCAACTTTGTCAAGGAAGCACAATTGCCTGGGGGAACTGTACATCCTCCACAGACTACAATTTTTCAGAAAGAAAAATGTAAAAGCCAGAAGAGGAAAGAAAGGAGAGGCCAGCAGCAGGGGGGAAGAGAGGAATGTATAACGATATTACTCAGCTACCTCCAAAGGGCATTTCCACCTGAGGGCAGAGACTCAGGCCACAGTCCCAAGAAATCCTCTCTTGCTGTCAAAAGAGTAATTGACAAATGGCCAGCAGCAGTTACAGCATTTATACCTGAGTGAGGATTTTCCACTCATTAGGTGTATGGGTTTTATTATTCAAATTATGGCTGTACTATATTTTCAAAAAATAAATTTCTCTGAGTAACACCATTAAGAATAATGCAACAAGGAATTCTGAAATTTTTCATGTCTCAGAGACTAAATAAACAACCTATCAGTTGGTTCATTTCAGTGGAGAATACAGGAAAACTTCACAACAGAAATATGTATATATCTGTGCTGAGAGGAGTACTGTCACTCATTTACTGACTCAGGCCATGTTGGCCTAAAACCAAGTCTGGGAGCCAGAAAGTCAATCCCAGCATCCTACATGGGGAGGACCTCAGGTCCTAAGGTCATACTTGCAGGAAGCTGGAGCCAGGAGCCACCAGGGTATCACACCCAGGCATGCCGGTGTGCTATGTGAATACCTTAACTGGTATCTTAACCCCTGTGGGTAAACGCCTGCCTCATAGAAACTATACTTAAACTTCCAAAGACATTTTATGCCATACAAGGCATATTTTTTAAAATAGATTTATTTTTTTATTGGAAAGAAAGATATATGGAGAGAAGGAGATACAGAGAGAAATATCTCCCATCCACTGGTTCACATCCCACATGGTCACAACAGCTGGAACTAAGCCAATCCAAAGCCAGGAGCCAGGAGATTCTTCTGAGTCCTCGATGCAGATAGACGATCCCAAGGCTTTGAGCCATCGCCCACTATCCTTCCAGGCCACAAGCAAGGAGCTGGAGGAGAAGTGGAGCATCTGGGACACAAACCGGCACCAACATGGGATCCCAGTGCATGCAAGGCAAGGATTTAGCTACTAGGCTATTGCACTGGGCCCCACAAAAATTATATTTTTTTAATGTCACCAGTTACTTTTAAAATAATGCTTCAATATTTTTAACATAAAAACATCTCTCTCTCCCAGGCATTTCTCTTATTTTGCCTGGGTTGAAACAGAACTGGGGAAAGTGTTTGGCACAACAAACATTGCAAAGGGAGAATGTTCTCCAATAATAATTTATTCTGCTTCCATACAAGTTAAATGAAAAGTAGATTATAGCAAGAACAGCTTAGTTTTAGATTGGCTCTTTC